AGGTAATTGAAGCAAAAACTATTTGAACATACATCTTATTTCAGTCATGGCTCACAGTCTCTTCTGATTAGAGTCGTATAAATGCTTACAAACTTTACTTTTTTCAGTCGCTCATCACGTTGATCGTCATCTTTCTAGTTCGTCAAAAGTCTCTTTCTAAAGACCATCTAGTACGCGATGGCAAAGTACGGCTCCTGTTTGCTATATTTGCGTCTGCTCTTATGCTACCTCCCTGCTATTACAGTCTTAGTAAGCATTACTCATATGTTTGGTTTTTTGCGAGGGATGGGAGAGAGAAAGCGGAAGTAGACGTAATTACCGATCTCTTTGATTACAGCAATAAAAAACTTTTTAGTGCACATATCATCTTTCAACTCGATCTCTGAAGAAACAACCATGGATGATGATGCTCGCGCAGAATGGGTTCTTCGTATTCTTCAATTCATCACCGCTCCTATCGTAATTCCAGCCCTTTTTCTGCTGAGACCATACCACATGGCCGTATTTACTCTTTTCAACCGCAAAAAGATGTTCAAGAAAACGACGCCACTGATGACCAAAAGAAGAGAAGAAGCACCGCTTGCCGTTCGACCTCTGTATCCAACAAATCCGACCTATCCGCCGACGGATCCGACTTTCCAGACAGATCCTCCGCAGTTACTATATCCACCGGCAACGCCCTCTCAGCTTTCTAAATCCGCCGAGACAGACGACAGTATTAGTGCTTGAAATTGTACTATCATCTCGCGTATAGTGTGGCATCTATATCGTAAGAAAGTTATCAGAAGCAGTCCGACTTCTCAGATTTATCACAAGAAAGTAACAACTATTCAAAGTCTTTAATCTCAAAAATTTCTTTTTGCTTTTTGTTTTATTGGAAAAGTGCACGTTCCTTTGATAGCTTCTATAGAGATTTCAAGTTAACAAAGATGACTAAAAGTTAAACTGAGTGCAAAATGTTTTGGTAGAGTCTACACAAATTGTTTAAATGTCCGTTACAACATACCCAAATTATGTTTCTACCTATATGATGTTACTATGGATCAGCAATCAACCTTGCTTACACATTTGCATTTGCTATCAAAAGTTGCAGGCTCACCTTCCTTATATTATTTCTCTGCAGAAGCATGGAACTGTGCTAGAAGGAAGTTGGAAGAATAGTTGTACTTCGAGAAGCACTTAATGCTGTCACATCAAAGTTTTACAGGGTCATTTTCATGTCCAGCTAGCCGCTTTAGCGCGCCCAAATTACATCTGTACATTTGTACCTACTTTTTTGATCCATCGCGTCTTAGCTATGTGGTTTTGAATTAGTCTCTCTAGTTACACCGACAAATGCGTACAAGCGACCTTACATTTGCACAAGATTAGCCTCAACTTCAATAGGCCCTCCTCCCTTCACTTTTAACCTTAGCATAAAAGAAGCAAAGATAAAATGCAGTGTGTGCATGATGAACAGAACGAAACCTATTCACTAAGTAGAAGGGTGTGTAGACATTCAAATAATCAAAAAGAAAAAAGAAAAGAGTAGACAGGACAAGACTCCACCCTCGTTTATTGTGAGCTTAGCAGTTTGTAGTGTTGAATGCACCTTGCAAACAGTGGCCAGCGCTGAAAAAGGGTTGCAGAATTTTTGAAAGTTATCAGGTTGGCTAAGAAGAACTTAGCACAGTTTGAAAATGAAACTGTGAAATCTGAAGTATTGATTTTTTGAGTTGAGCCATAGAGGGTCATA